TTTGTATCCATCCATCAATCTCTCCATCATCCATCCTTCCATCCATCCATCTCTCCATCATCCATCCTTCCTTTCACCCATCCTTCCATCCATCCACCCATCCATCCATCCTTCCATCGATCCATCCTTCCTTCCTTCCTTCCTTCCTGCCATCCATTCATCCATCCTGCCATCTCTCCATCCATCCATCCATCCTTCCATCCATCCTTCCTTCCTTCCATCCATCTTTCCATCCATCCATCCATCCATCCATCTTTCCATCCATCCATCCTTCCATCCATCCATCCATCCATCCATCCATCCATCCTTCCTCCCTTCCGTCTTTCCATCCATCCTTCCTTTACAAGCATGCAAACCTATTACTTTGGATTCACAATGCCAAGGTTAATATCACTGCCTTCCTTCTTTCCTTGTTGTAAGGATGTATCTATTTATCTATCTATCTAATTTATTTCATTGTAAGGATGTTTAGATGTTAGGAAAACAATGTCACAATGTTGTTTTCTTAACAATTTTTATGCTTATTTTATAATCAAATGAACGCCAAACAAATTGACTTTGTCGATACTTTTAGAGGCCATTTTTGCACCAGGCCACCCGCATCCGTGCCTTCTTTGCTGGTAAACAGAAATAAATTGTTGCCAGGTTCTGAGCTGATAAGCTCACATGTACTCCCACATTCCCGGCCCCAGATGCTAACCACTAACGCTGCGCTAGGTGTGATCAAAACAAACAGCATGGATGCTAGCCGCTTCATCACCCTACCACCGCACAGGTAACGGCAGCTGCTGCGAAGCCACCCGATAACGAACAAAACACACAGCGCACAACTGGCGAGAGATCAAAGGTTGTCAGAGGTCGCTTGTTAGCTGCGTTTGCAAACCTGGACCAAATGGGGGCTTTATCTTGCTATGCTTCTTTGGATTTGGAGATCAAATGGATGGACCAGAGTGTGTGGGCCATTGGCGTGAATCTTGAAAAGCCCAAACTATTCGCTGATTACCAGCTTGCTCTCCCCCAACGTAAACGATGTTGACAAGATGTCAACAGACACGGCCAGTGCCATTATGGCTTCCATTAGCTTGATTACTCTGTATTAAACAAGCACTTAGCCGTGTGTACATAGCCAAACAGTGCTGGCACTTTAGATGCAGGGTGAGAATGACAACAGTGATATTAACCATGACATTGTGAATCCAAATTAAAAGGCTGACATGCTTGTAATGCATTAAGATCACATCTCTAAGAGCGGGCACTGGGAACATGCATCATACTTGAAACACTTTTAAAGAAATGCTGCATGATTGGAATAGGTACATTTCAGTTATTGCATGACTTCAGAAGTTGCATGGCATAATTTTAGGGTGCTTTTTAATGGTTTTTGTCCTCTTTAGAGCTTAAAGTCAGCATGATACAAAGTTGCAATTGTCTTTTTTTCTCCTATTGTAACGTATAGATGAGTGAAAAGGCTTTTCGAACAAGAATAAAATGTAGGGTTGGACTTGATTTTGTCCATGGGGAATGGATTGGATGGTTGTGGTTTGCTATTGGTCGACCTCATGTGAGTGATAGGTTGCCCCGCCCTCTTGCTAGTTAACGCATCATCAGATAAGAGTAAAGAGGGGAAGTTATTTTGATTAAAAGTTACATGGACGGGAATTTTTTTTAAGTAAATTAAGATAATTTATAATAAATAACGTAATATTCCATAAAAGATGGTGACTTTAAACAAGCGTTGTATGAAGAGTCTATAAAAAACCTTAAATAATAATACACACTTTTGATTGATATCAGAGGGGATAAATAGAGATAAAATGTTGTGATTTTTGGTGTACTGTTCCTTTAAAAGCATTGTAGGTCAAATAATATGGCATATCCAGTTTCTCAATGTTGTGCTTCATTCTATTTCACAGTCATCAGGCCACTGGCACTAACTCTGACTCTTGTCTCTGTCTGTGGTAAAGCTCTCGAAGAGGAATATGATTCCTATTAGAGTTCAGTATTAGCCTCATGGCAATGAGGTGATGGCCAGCCTCAGAGACAGAGAGAGAGAGAGAGACAGCTTTCCAAACGCCATCCCAGACCAATGAAGAGTTAATCTACTACATATGTTCTCTATGGAAATAATGAGAGTTAGTGTAGAGACTTTTCCGTTTGATGCTGGAGCTCTTGGACATCCATCGCGGAGATTAACTGAACCTTGTAATCAACAAAAACCTTATCCTTATTTATATTTGTTTATAAAAATGTATTTATAAATGATATATTTTACTTATTACCATCTTAGAATAAACAATGATTATTTTTTTATTATATATTATACTTTACTATTAAAGGAGTAGTTCACTTTAAAAAAAAAATTTTGCTGATAATTTACTCGCCCCCATGTCATCCAAGATGTCCATGTCTTTCTTTCTTCAGTCGAAAAGAAATTAAGGTTTTTGATGAAAAAATTCCAGGATTTTTCTCCATATAATGGACTTCAATGGGAACCAAACGGTTCAAGGTCCAAAAGACACTTTCAGTGCAAACTGTTCAAAGGCCTTTAAACGATTTCAGACGATGAATAACGGTCTTATCAAGTGAAACGATCGCTCATTTAATACATAAATAACAAAGTTTAAGTTTTATAAGCTCAAATGGTCGCCTTGCTCTTTTCTGTGACGTACGTTCGTGACTCTTCTTTTCGAACTCGTCCATCAGAATGAACAAATCTTTTTTCGTGTCATTTGGTTCATTCAACGAACGAATTGACTCAGAAAAAGATTAGTTTATTTTGATGAACGAGTTCGAACAGGAGAGTCACGAACGCGCATCACAGAACAGAGCAAGGCGACCATTTGAGCTTATAAAACATAAACTTTGTTATTTTTTTTTTTTTAAATGAGCGATAGTTTTGCTTGAACCCTTACTCATCGTCTGGAATCGTTTAAAGCCCTTTGAACAGTTTGCTCTGAAACTCTCATTTGGACCTTGAACTGTTTGGTTCCCATTGAAGTCCATTATATGGAGAAAATTTTAGGATACTAATAGGATATTATTTAGGATACATGTATAATGCAAATGATTTTTGCCAGATTTGGTTTTCTCACAAATTGCTAGAAAATTTCACATTTAATTACAAAGAAATGGCTACTAGGAAATGACTGCTAAGAGCTCTTTCGTTTATAGCAGCTGACCAACTCCCTTCTTGTTCATTCCACTAGGCTGATTTTAATAAAGTCAACTTTAATGTTTATTTAACAACACTTCGCATTACTCAAGATCGAGTGAGTAATTCAACAGCGACTCATTAGAGAAGTGCTTGTATAATAAAAAGAACATCTTTCAACATAATGAACTGAAATGCAGAACAGTTGTGACGGCTTCATCCGCTGGCGAGAGCTGAAAATGGTGGCGATTATCACGTCTCCAGAGTCACTTTTAATAAAGTTTTTCATTTTGCAGAATTGCTTAAAATTGCTGTTCAATATTTAGTTTGGACGACATAGGTGAAGATACACATAGTTTCTGTCCCAAAACCTAGTGAGCTGCCTACATAGATGACATTTATGTGCGCTCCAAATGCTGTTCTGAAAGGAAGCATAATTATGAAAAAATTATAATGCAGCATTCCTAAAGACACAGTTTAAATCGTCAAAAAAAATGTATGATCATGTCATTCCAAACCAAACATGTATGACTTTTTTTAAGGTAACTTAGTTTGTGTTGTAATGAGGGTGAGTATATAATGTCAATAAGACAATCCCATAATGCATATTTTTTTATTCTTGGGCCTTATTACAGTGAAGCTTTATCACCATGCTTAAGCCAATTTTATATGTTGAAATAATGTAGACCGATGGCTTCTACCTAAGCATATACCATCATTTAACAGCCTTGTAGCTTACAGTATGTCTGTCTTCAACGGTTTATAAGTTATGGTTAAAAATCAATTCCCCTATGGAGAAAACGAATGGGGTTTTTACTTCTGGAACCCATTTGCGGCAACTTTGGCCCGTCCTCAAAGAACATTTGCAGGGCCAAAGAAAACATGGTATGGATCAAAATCAAAATCAACGCCATATAGATATAATTATGTGTGAATGAAACCTCAGGAGATGAAGCTCGATTAGACTGGGTAGCTGACCAATCAGAGCAGAGGATGCTTTTCAGAGAGACAGGCTTTAAAGAGACAGTAGCTGCGTCCGAAATCGAATACTTCCCTACTATAGTATGCAAAAAACAGTACGCGAGCAGAGTAGTATGTCCGAAATCATAGAATTGGAAAAACAGTCGGCGAAAAGTACCCGGATGACCTACTACTTCCGTTATAGTTGTCGTTATATTTGAAAATGGCGGAAACTGGAGCCACTGTAACGGTTGGAGATAAACACAGACACACATGTGTATATCGATTGATTCATTCATGTTTATTTATATCACGAGCAAATAAATGGCTTGCCAAAAATCAACATCTGTCATTCTTCATAGGGGTTGTGTGTGTGTTTTATGAGATAAAATTATTAGGTAAACAAATATTATTTGAGAAACTCCACAAAAGGCGTGATCTGCGAGCAGCTGACCGACGCCTCCTCTTGATTGTCGGCTCGGTCGATGTAAAAAACGCAGATGAAAACAGAAAGCAGAACTAAATGGGATCTTAAAATGTCAGGCGACAACAACATGGCGCATGTAGTACGTTCGGACTCATTCATACTACCCGTGTTCATACTATATATAAAATACTTTTTTAACGGCCGTGAAGTACGTTCTTATTTAAATATAGTACCTACTCACATAGTACGCGATTTCGGACGCAGCCAGTGACTTAAACAGATGGTTCAGACAGAAGGTGAAAAGAGGTAAATGTATTCTACCATACCACACTAATAAAGTTATAAACTTGTAAATGAGCATTATGCAAACACTTTAAAACTCTAATGCATATTGGCAAACCATTTCGAAACCATGTTTTGATCACATGTTTGACCGATTTTCACTTTCTCTTACTTACCTAGGAACCTAATGCCTCGTACTTTAGACGGCCAGATCACTATGGAGAAGACACCCAGCTACTTCATCACACGTGAAGCCCCTGCCCGGGTTTTCTCCATGAGCCGCAGCACCAAACTCATCGTGGTGGTCCGTGACCCCGTGACCCGGGCCGTGTCAGACTACACTCAGACTCTGACCAAAAACCCCGGCCTGCCATCTTTCCAGAACCTGGCCTTCAAGAACTCCACCACGGGTCTGATCGACACGTCCTGGAGCGCCGTGAGGATCGGCATCTACTCCAAACACCTGGAGAACTGGCTCAGGTATTTCCCGCTCGCGCAGCTTCTCTTCGTGAGCGGCGAGAAGCTGGTGACGGATCCGGCGGGAGAAATGGGCAGGGTGCAGGATTTTCTGGGACTCAAACGAGTGGTCACCAATAAGCACTTCTACTTTAACCAGACTAAAGGCTTCCCGTGCCTCAAAAAGCCGGAGGGAAGCAGCAGACCGCGATGCCTGGGGAAGACGAAAGGAAGGCCGCATCCGCGCATCCCGCCGGAGGTGCTGCACAGACTCAGGGATTTCTACAGGCCTTTCAACATGAAGTTCTACCAGATGACTGGCCAGGACTTTGGCTGGGACTAAAAAGAGTTGCAGCCAGGACCCTTTTTTGATAATGCAGAAAGCTACGAAACTATCTAGTGATTTTCAGCACCAGTCAAAGCTGGCCCGAAAAGTCACTTGCCCCTTTCACACATACAGTCTTTACTGGTAAGTTACTGGTAATGGTAATGTATGACGACAACGGCTCTGTGTTTTAAGATCACTTCCGATGACTGACATCACAGAATTTACCAGTATTTTCGAGCTGTTGTGTGAATGGTTTCTTCCCGGTAGAAAGCCAGAACGCCATTGAACGGCATATTTGTGTACACTCTTAGAAGAAATGGTTCTATTTAGAACCAGAAATGGTTCCATCCCCCGCTTCATATATGGAACTCCAAAATGGTTCTATATAGAACCATTTTTTTGGTAAAAGGTTCTATTGGAACCCCAGGGTTCTATATAGAACCCAGAGGAATCCTTTTTTTAAGAGTGTATAGAACCTTTTAGGGGTTCCAAATACATAGCGCTGATAGAACCTTTTAAGGTTCTATATAGAACCTTTTCTTCTAAGAGTGTGTTCACTGGTAAATCATTCTGGCAATTTTACGGTAATTTACCGGGATTGCTGTGGGAAAGGGGTTTATGATCAGCAAAAGGCAGCATTTTTGATCTTGCGGTTTAAGTCAAGTCACTTTTGTTTATATAGCCTCTAAATGGACATGGGGTTGAAAAAGAATTATGAGACGGGAGGAAAATGTGGAACGCGAAATGTTTGCGTTCCCCCGAGAAATTTTCCACCCTCTAGCAAAACTTTTGAGTTCTTTGTGAGCAAACCCAAAGTTTCTGGAGGTAAACTCTAAACATTTGCGAGAGAACACGAAAGCATTGAAATATATTTTTTCTTTCCATTTCATATTTTTTTTGTTCATTCACCATGTCACTTTTAGGGTCTCTAACATAGCGCTTTATATAATACAGATTGTTTTACGGTAGCAGAATCAATGGTGCAAACTTCATCAAATATATAAATTCAAATTCTGATGTAAAAGTGTTGATTCAGTTCAGTAAGGCTCATTTCAGTTGTAATTCTGTGTAATTTTTAAATTCTATATGCCGCTCTACAGAAGACAGTGACAATAGTGTCGTTACTCAGCTCAAGTCAGTTCACGTTTTGATTCTCATAGTCCGAATCCAATATTAAGTGTCTTTTAAATCCCAAATTAATGCACTGAAACATTTTTACAAACACTCCTCATCATTAAATGCATTTTAAACAGTCGTGTAACAAACATTAAAGGCTCAGGGAAGGAGGATGCGGGAACCGGGGAACGTTTAACATAATCTTTAATCACCAAATAAACAAACGACAAAACGAAAGTAAAGCGGCAGCCCCTCATGGACGAAACATGATAAAACACAACAACGTCCAGGCCTGGTCCTCTCTCATCCTTCACTGTCGTAGTAACACTCCCACGCCTCTCGCCATTTCTAGGCATTTTCCATTATATATTTGCATTTTACATCTATTTTTTTGTTTGCGTCTGATTCAACTGAGTATGATCTCAAACTGACTGAACAGAATACCGGCTGTGATGTTCGCTGCCTAAACGCTCCCTTATTTCACATGCCCATAATCATACAGCTCAAAACTCATTTGTTCTTCGTGATTTACTGCTGCCAAAAAGAGCAAAACTTGGATGTTGTCATTCAGCCACTGTTAAGAGGGAAGAAAAAAGAGGGAGGGAAGCAATAGAAATGTACTATACAAACTTTTATTATTTATTTTGTGTGTTTTTGCTCATGAAAGGAAATTGCCCGCTTCTTCAAGAGATCCTGTTTTACAGTAAAAAATATATATATATTTTGGCTAGACTCTTTGGTTTAGATTTTGGACCATGCGAATTGTTTTTATGCCACTTTCTTTCTTTTTTATGTATATTTTCTCTTAGGATATGTTTCAGCTATTTAACCTCTGTCTTATTTTAAATAGTTGATTTTCTCAATAGTTATACAGGGATGAATACTGGACTATGCATTATCCTTAAGACAATAGCTGCTCACTGAAAACAAAGATCTGCTTCTGCTGTATATTGCTATTATTTATATTTATGAATGTAAAGATTTGTTTGATTTGTCAGTGTCGAAATATATAATGAAATCAGTGAGCAGCTTTTTTTCTACAAACATTATAATAAACAAACATGATAGGAACAGTGTATACGTTTTATTCGTTTTACCATTCCACCACCACCACCAGCCTGCACAGTGGTAACAAGGCATGACGGATCCATGTTCAAATTCTGCTAACCAAGCTAAATGTGAAGTTAACATTCTGAGATGAGGCTTTCTGATGTGTAAGCAATCAATTTGCAAGGGTCATAGAGACCTTTAGGATGGTAATCTTTGACCCGTGACTCCCGGGTGACCTCCCACACCATGCCATATTAAAGCGCCGGCCACACTGACCCTTTTCTCCCACTGCGTTAATGTTGCCGATCGAGAGACAGACTCTTGATTCCTAAAAAAAATATCAAAATCAATAATTGTCTGTTTAAGTTTATAGTTCCACTGCGGTGTGCCATCATCCATTTAGTCCTCCCGTCACTATGATTTAATCCAGATCGAGTGCTGCTCGCTTCCAAACATCCATAAAATGTTATTTAATGGAGGATTTACAGCATTTTCCAAATCCTGATAGATTAATGTGGCTGGTGTGGGTTTATATGAAGACGTGGGGAGCCTAAAGCATGATTTTAATCTACTGAAAAGACACACAGTTGCCTATTTAGTATTTCTTTAATATTGTCTGTTTATCCACCTGTAACCGAGCAAAACAACCGAGGGGTTTGGGCATGGGAGCCGTCAAATTGGCTAAATGATCAAAAGTTCAGGATGATGATAGCAGTCAGTGTGAGGTTCTTGAGAAAGGTGAAAGGCTGTTCGACATGTAAATACAGTGAATGAAGAATAAAAAGAGCATCATTCAAATCAGTGGCACAGGAATCAACACCCAAGACATATAAAACTGCTATTTCTGTCTTGAAACATAAGCCCGATCTTCTGTCTTTCTGCTGAATTGGACTTGAGGAATGTCGTTGAGTGCTTCCCTCTTCTAAAGTCTTCTTTGTGTCCCTGTGGCCAGAACCAAATCAGCGAAAACTGAGATGTTATCCTGTTCTGCAGCTGACTGACTGCATTCAAATGCAAACCGGCTTCGCTTTGGCCTCTTCATCTCATCAGACTCTATCTCTCTCTCTCTCTCTGTGTGTGTGTGTGTGTGTTCAGCTCTCTCTTTGTGTGATCTTGCTGTGAGCGCTCTGGACTACAGTGAGATTAGACTTGCGAAAATCTCCCTCAGATTAAAACTTTTCAACTCCTTGGCTTAAAAAGAACAACTGGTGACCCTGAAACTAAAGGTCAAGTATCAGCATTCAAGTGTTGGAGAGACTCTTAAGTACCAAACACACCGATATATTCATGATATTCCTGTCGACAGCCACACAAGAGTTCTGACTATCAGTTTAAGGTTATTGACTATTAAGAAAAGGCCGTTTTGATTAGTTTGTTTAGTTTATTTGGCGCAATATTAAATATATACAATAAAAATAAAGAAAATACAATCCATATACAGTGCAGGGATATGTATATATATTTAGCTATTTTATATAAAAATAAACAATAGCTAAATTAACATAAAACATGGCGAAAGCACAAAGCAAAACTGTTGAATGTGAATGGTACAGTTGGCAACACAATTAAAAGTAGATTTATTATAGTTAAATAAAGTGGAAAAAAACATTTTTGTTTTTTGAAATAAACTTGAAATAAAAATGTAAAAATATAAAAAATATAAACACTTTTGATCTCAATTATACTAAAATAACATTGATTAAAAGAATTAGCCAAAATGTACAATTTTGTCATTACTTTGTGTATGTATATATATAGTAGTAATATATAGTAGTATAAATATTAGGGTTGTCAATCGATTAATCACGATTAATCGCATCCAAAATAAAAGTTTGTGTTTACATAATATATGTGGGTGCACTGTGTATAATTATTTTATATATATATATATATATATATATATATATATATATATATATATATATATATATAATTAAATACACACACATGCTTGTATATATTTAAGAAATATTTTCATGTATATACTGTATATAAATTGTATATATTATATATAAATATTTTATATATAAATAATATTTTTTTCTTAAAAATACATGCATGTGTGTGTATTTACGTATGTAAAATGATTATACACAGTGCACCCACATATATTATGTAAACACAAACTTTTATTTTGGATGCGATTAATCATGATTAATTGTTTGACAGCCTTGTGACCAGTTACATGACCTAAAATAAAAATGTTTCTCTTCCACATTATTAATATAGATGTGTATTAATATAAATGTAAACCTTATACCTTGAGTTTGAAATATAAATAAACATGTAAGAACATTGCAGATGTGCGTTCCTTAAAAACTCTTTTGTCTCCCGTGAAAGAAATACCAGCATGCGGGTTAGTAACGACATGAGAGAGAGCAAATAATGGCACAACGATTCCTGTAAGGATATGTCATGCAAAGTAATGTAACTGAAACACCACCCACACACACAGCGGCACAGTCAACTATAGTCCCGGCGGTGACCTCTGAGGTCAGGGGTGAAAGTGCATTCCTAGCCTCCGCTCGCGTCCTGCTAACACACACTCCTCAGAGTGTCGTTCAGCTGCTCGGCTCGTGTTGCTCTGATGTATACGATGGATTATTTACAGACGTCATAGAGATGATTTAGATACATTGATATGATCTAAAAAATAAATTCAACTTAAAAGTGCAGAAACAGAATAACATCATATTCCTATTTGCAGATTTCAAAATAATATCCGAATCTTCCGAGATCTTGTATTTGTGCTGTGATGATGTATCGGCTGATGTAAGCAGGCCATAGATCAGCACAAGGACCTGTTAGACTGAGAAAGGTCTTACTGTTGACCTCTGACCCCTCACATTAGCCGTGGCCATCCGCAGACATTCATCCTCTTTAACAGACATGTTCACGTTATAATCTCTCTCACTGCTGCACACATGGCCATGATAACTCAATTCAAGACCACTTCATTGCTCTTATCATTACACATCAATGTTCACGTCCACAATACATGTTCAGGCATGACTAATAGCTTGAAATATGATTTATGTATTATTCTGATATGCTATTATAGTTTGTTAGAATTTACAATTAGATTGTGTGCATGTGTGTAAACACATATATTATATGAAACAACCTGTGTTAGATGCTATTCATCATGAATAATCAGTTTGACAGCACTATTTTAAATATATAATATATACACGTAT